GGCTCCAGGCTCTGAGCTGTCAGCACTGAGCCTGACACGGGGCTTGAACTCACGGACTGTGAGATCATGACCTGAGCTGCAGTTGGTTGCTTAACTGACTGAGCCACCCAGGCACCCCTGTGCCCCTGTTTATAAACAGCATTTGTGTGTCCCTGTTTATAAACAGCTTTATAATTGTTCTTCCATCATTTCATGTCCTTCTTTGGCTCTCAAACCAGAGAGAAGAAGAAAGTGATAACTACTTCTCTTCTGTTATTACTAACTCCTATCAAGTCCCTAAGTACAAGACGTTATCCAGTGTTTACTTAAAAATTCTAAATTACTTTTCCTTGGTCTTATTCCTTTAATCAATATCTCTTTCTCCCTCTCTCTCTCTCTCAATCTCTCTCTGTCTCTGTCTCTCTCTCTCTCTCTCTCTCTCTCTCTCTCTCTCTCCTGGTACCCAAACTTAAAAAAACAAAACAAAACGTGTTGGCTATTAGAATGCTAAGTGAGGAACAAAAAATTCTCTGTATGCTATAATTATACCTATGTAACAAGACACAAAACTGATGCAAAGTAAAAAAGACTGGAAGGAAAGACACTAAAACGCTAACAGTAGTTGTGTTTGAGTAGTGAGATTAAAAGTAAATTTGTTATCCAGCAAAAAATAAGTAAATAAATACAGTACAAGTATAAATATGAATAAATATAAATGTGAGAGAGCATATGGAGAAAGAGATGAAGCAATGTAGTAAATAAAGTATTATTAACTGGTGAATTTAAATGAAGACTATACAGGTTTTCATTGTATCTTTTTTCCTTCTTATATATACCTTTTAAATCTTTTTCAAAAAATTTTTTAATGTTTATTTATTTAGAGAGCAAGGCAGCGTTTGTGAGGGGCAGAGAGAGAAGGAGAGAGAGAATCCCAAGCAGGCTCCATTGCTGTCAGAGCAGAGCCCAACACGGGGCTCAATCTCACATACTGTGAGATCATGACCTGAGCTGAAACCAAGAGTCAGACACTTAACTGACTGAGCCACCCAAGTGCTCCTTTGAAATTTTTTTAAATATAAAATTGGGAGGGGAAAATAAAGTAAATTAAAATAAACCTGTCAGAATGCTTTTACATTTTAGGCTGTGATGAACATTGCTTGAAATTATCATTATTGATGTTAATATTACCTCTCACCATACCAGGAGGCTACATATAAAAATTGAGCTCAACACTGGGTATTGTATGTACATGATGAATCACTGAATTCTATTCCTAAAACCAATACTGCACTGTAGGTTAACTAACTAGAATTTTAAATAAAAATTTGAAAAGGGAAAAACTGAGCTCAAAACTAGTAATAAGACTGAAGCTTCCAATACGATAGGTCTCTAATGACTTCAGAGGAAAAGCAATACTAGTTAATAGTCACATACCAGCAGCTATGGGAATTCCAACTAGATTATAAATTAGAGCGAAAACAAAATTTATCCGAATCCTCTTGACTGTCTTCCTTGATAAGTCAATACTTGCCACTACATCCAGAAGATCATTCTGAGAACAGAAATATTTGTGATATTAGTGAGAGACTTTAACTTAACTAGTACTTTTGTATTTGATACTGTGATTTTGCAGATGATGTATACCTTAGGGTAGGTAATAAATCTTAAATATTATAAATCTTAAATATATAATTTAACTATAAATCTTAAATATTGCTAAAAATTTCAGTCAGCCTTGGAAGATGTTTTTCAGGACTTTTTCTCAGGGGTCTAGAAAACACTTCTTGCATTGTATGATGCTATGTGCATTATATCCCTTAAAATAATCTCAGCAAGTGTTTGTTGAAGATAATTTTATTATAAGTATATTCCCCAATCTTATTCTTTACTTTAGAAGCTTGTCATTCTCATTTGCTTTGCTGGATTGAGAAAGTCTGAAAGTAATTAGTATGACTTCTCATACTCCCATCTTCAATTCTCCGTCTCAATGGCTGGGAGCACAGGAATTAGAAAGAATTGTTCTATTCCATATACTTTATGACACTATCCCTGACCAAGTAGAGCAGTATCACAGACCTCAATGTTCAGGCTACAGGACTTACCCTTATTAAAACCACATCAGCTGCTTCAATGGCTACATCTGTACCTGTGCCAATGGCAATTCCAACATTAGCCATTGCCAGAGCTGGAGAGTCATTGATTCCATCTCCTACCATTGCAACCTGTTTCCCCTCCTCCTGAAGTTGCTTCACCTTAGCAACCTTATGAGAAGGGAGAACTTCAGCAAACACCTTAGTAATGCCAACCTACATGAGGAAAAATAAACTCAATTCATTTCAAGAAATATTACTAGTACCTGAAATAGAATGCAGCAATAGCGAGCCATCAGTTTCTACCCACCAGATGTCCCAAATTGCAAAAAGTGGTAGTATCTAGTGATAGTAAGAATATAGAGAAATCAGCTCTCATATGCACACTTGGTGAGCGTGTAAACAGTTATCATGTTTTTGGAGGGCATTTGGCAGCATCTATCAAAGTGCACACCTCATTTAGTTCAGCAATTCCACTTCTAGCTATATTCTGGACATACTCATACATGTATAAAAATATTTATGTTTGACTTCCAGGGAAGATGGCAAAGTGGGGGGATCCTGGGCTAACCTCATCCCATAGATGCAACCTGGGTCATCCACAGTGATGTGGCTGATCCAGAGAACAGCATAGGGCCTGACAGAACAGACTGCCACAGTTAGGTAAAGAGAAAGGGCCATGTTGAGGAATGTGTGGAGAGGGAGATACAGTCCAGAGCCAGGTGGACTCGTGGGACAGTCTGTGGGAGGGAGGGGTGGAGTGAGTATGGAGTGGGAAGAGAGGAACAGCCCCCTACATCAGGTGCCCTGGGCACAGGGGCCTGCACAGGGATGGCAGGTTCTCATAGAGTTTTGAGAACCAGAGGGGCCAGGCTTTGTAAGTTCTGACAATCAGTGAGTCTAGAAACCTGGAATTTTAAAAATTTTAAAAATCAGCTGGTTCAGCTCTGGGAGAGCCAGTGGGCAATAGGAAACTGAGTCTTCCCACTTAAAGAGACAGCACAACAAACAACCCCAGTGAGATACAGCATAGAAGAAGCAGTTTGAGGTTACTGGAAGATGGCGGCGTAGGAGGACGCTGGGCTCACCGC